TAGCAGAACACATGCCATAGTTTTCTACCGTAGCTGATGTTTCTGAGCAACAGCCAGTTCTGGGTCATGCAGACTTATGCGGGTTGTCTCTTCAGGCTTGTGGAAGCCCTTAACCTTAACCCCCTAGACACAACCTGCAAACCCTAAACCTGAAGTCACCCCTGAAGCCCCCTATACTCACGCCTAGGTAGGTGATGGAGTCGACCTTCCCGCACGAGTCCAGGGTTAAGCGACCTTATCGGCAGTTCCGGTCGGCCAAGAGCTTTGGAAGCTAACGGGGAGGGTCTCTCGAGTTCAGGAGTTATTGCTGGGGTCGTTAAAAAAAGGAGGATTCTACCTAGTCTTTTGGGGCATATCTTGAGGTCTGGGGTATAGCTCACTTAGGGGGAGGCTCTACTCGGGGAGTCAGTAGAGGTGCCGTTCTTTCCTTGGGAAACTCAATGTAGCCTTGAGTATCGCCTACTCACGAAGTTCCTGGATCCTTCCAATCGGCGAAGCAGCTTCTTCGCTCCGCGAGTTTCGAACGTGTAGCTCTACATGCACCATCTCAACAAACGACACATCCATGGCAAGACTCTGCGACACCAACCCGAACATTAGCAAGTGCGGACACTCTCTGCCGACAAAACCTTTTTCGAGGTCCGTACAGAAGTGGCCCTTGCCATTGCTGAGGTCCAGCGTGTCTGTCACCTGGGTTCCGGGCTTCTTTTGCACGTCGGGTTGGATGCTTCGATTCTTTGGAGACTTGTGCATGCTGGAGTAAGCCTTTTTGCAAGAATAGAAGGAATAGATGTAGCAGAAACAATCACCGTAGTGCTCGTAGTAGGAGACACAATGTGATGGAGCTGCCTGGCTTCTGAGCAACCACAGCAATGACCTCTAGTCTATGGTGCTCAACAGCATTTCAACGGCAATAGCACGCTTTAGGTAGAGCCTGGGACTCTGGAATCTTCGTAAGCCCACCTAACACTGTGGTCATCTATCAGGCTGCGCGGCCTCTCCAAAGGTAGAGGAAGGAGTCATGCCGTATTGCCGGAAGACTGATGTCTAGCAGTCCAAGTATCTGTGCATTTTCTCCAAGCTGAAGCCCTGGAGTATGGGGCTTTCGGGTGGGAAGCTCAGGCCATGACTATCACCTGCTCTTCCTTCTGCTCAGTCGGTTCTGCCTGCATTTTGCAGCAGGGTGAGCATTGCTACTGTCAACTGTTCCCCTACATACGACTGTAAAGCTATAAACATGATGGCCATTTCGTGGGGATCCTTCTTTCGCAGGCGCGAGCCATCACCCCTTAAACCCTGCAAGCCTCCCCGAAGCCTCAACCTGTGAGCAGGAGTTGAACCGACTCCGGCCGTCCTAGAGCCTCTACTCAAACAGCCTGGCGCCCCAGGCTCATCCGTTGAAGGCTGGAATCTGAAAACTTGCTGGGAGGAACACTACCTGGTGTAAGGGCTTCTCTCGAATCCAGGTGCATACGCCTTATAACGATAAACAAGACAAGCAGTCACAAAGAGCTTCGAGCTGTGCGGAGCGAATCCTTACTGCGGCAAAGAGGGAGCAGTACGATTCCCGAAAGCAGGGCTTCAGGCAACGCAGCCCATGGCTGAATCCGCTTTCTGCATCAGGGACTCTCGCAAAAGCAAGGGCCTCTTGTAGCTTGTAAGGCGTCCTTGTATTAAGGATCCTACTGATTTGGTTGTATGAGTGGCTTCCGTATTCTCAAACTCCCATCTGCTGTGACCCGTCGTCCTGGATATAGAACCAACAAAAAAAGGCCTGCACGTCGCCGCGCCGACAGGCATGAATTCCTGGGAAGTTGGGTGAGCGGCACACTAGGGCATTTCTTTTCCGATACTTGTCTTGCCAAAATGCAAGGACAGCTTCTCCATCCTATGCGCTGGAGTTATGCCCTAGAATTGGAAACAAAAGTCTCGAGCGCGTCAGGCTTATCCTTGGGTGGTATAGGTTTCAGCTGCCATCGCAGGTGCAATCCCGCATACACGAAGAATCACACTCCTAACGACTCAATTCAAGATGCTGGTAGTCTTCAAAAGATTAACAACAATCTACAAGTATCTCTAGAAATCGTTTTGCGCTTTCTTCTTCCCGAATTCCCGGTAGCAGCATCTTCTCTTTGAGACAAGTTCTGAATGAAAGCACACATCCTTAAACGCTGCGTGCAAATTGCTCCAGACTTCTAACCATCAGCAACCAAACACGGCAGCATCATTTAGCTTCAGAAGGACAAGCCTACAGGTACGGTGATATCATGAATATCACAGCAGCTCCCTCTCGGCACCGGGCTATAGTAGTGGAGATTTCCGGGTAAGAGACCTCCCTTCGCGATCGGCCTGATGGTGTCCAGGGTTTGAGCTGCAGCATCTACGCTTCTGAAAAGCCTTGGGCCTGTAATTAAGCAGCTAGACATTCCTTCTTGGGGTGCATATATATATATATATGTTTTATTATATTACATATATATATATATATATTTAGGGTTTAGGGTATAATAATGTTGGGGTGCTTGAATTAGACGGTGAAAACTCCATGCCCCGCCGAACAATCCAAGTCGGTCACACCAAGGGGTTTTCAATGCTGTAGCGCCATAGGCGTACACACTGATACTAAGCCAAACTGGAATCCATCACCAGGTTTCCCAGGCCTTCAACCAACCATTGTAGAACCTTGCTATTACAAAGCCGCACAAACGCTCCTGCTCGATAAAGCCTAAAACCTGGACCCGTAATCCGCTAAACCCAGGGTGGGGAGTTGAGCATTGTAGGACTTAGGGTGCAGCAAATCAGCGTTTAGGGCTTTTGCACCATCTTCGACAGGACTCTACTCAAGGCTGGGATGTTGGGCACCGTTATGCTTCTGGCGTGGTTTTAACCGGGTTGAGGCCTTTCGATTGCTGGCTATTTCAAGCAGAGTTACGAACCCAATTGCGAGATCTCCTCATCCTCCAAGCAAGCCCTTCTCTTAATTTGAGGATGCAGCATGTAGAACTCGGGGAGTAAGTCCGGCGATGCCTCCTCGCACAGTGGCTATGATGCTGGGTATACACACACGCACGCACGCATGTACATATTTGTGCATGTAATGTGAGGAAGTGCCATGTAATCTAATGTAATGTATGTCTGTCTGCCTGTCCGTCTGTCTCTGTCCGTCAGTCCGTCAGTCCGTCAGTCCGTCCGTCCGTCTGCTTCTCTGTCTCTGCCTGTATGCATGTATGTATGTATGTTTGTATCTCTGTATGTAAGTAAGTAGATAGCTAGGCAGGTAAGCAGGAAGGTAGCATGCATGTATGTGTGTCTGTAGGTGGATGTGTGCATGTATATAGATATACATATGTAGATACACATAATATCCAGAATCCAGAAATGTACACACACAAACACATACATCGCAGTATATATATATATATATATATAAATATATATATATATATAATATACACGTGAAAAATGTCTGGCTACATGTGTACATGTATATATATATATATATGTGTGTATATATATATATATATACGTGTAGCATGGTATGCCTGGTCATGGTAACCCTCCCCAGGGTCGTAACATATAGAGTTCAGGGCTGCAGCTTATGTTACCATCGTGGCATTGTAGGTCTTAATTTCTGGAAGGAAGGGATGTTCGATAGAATCGGACCTACAGATAGGTTTCCTGAGTGCTTGATAGCTGTGTCGAGCTGAAGAGGTAAGTTTCCCGAGTGCCGGGTAGAGCAACTTCGAGCCGCAGGCCGAGCCGATGCTGGCACACACACAGCTACACAAATCTATCTATCTATCTATCTATCTATAGAGAGACACATATACATACGCATGCGGGTATAAATGTCTCATGTATCATTGTTCTGTGTGTGTTCGGCCTTGTACCCCTGCTACTCAACACATGTACCTCAACATGTTTTTTGGTGAATATGGTGGGCTCCTGCGCACTGTGAAAAGGGAGATTTTGAAACCCTGAGTCACAGCCTTACAGTCGGAGGTACTGTAGGGGCCTTAGTAATTAGATATTATGATAAGGAGTCCTAACACTGATATAGGTAATTATTTAAGCTTCTATATGAGATGGTTCATCATGAGGGGGTGATCGGAGTAGGGAGGACGGAGGAGTTTCGCAGAAAGGCGAAGGCAGCTGCAAGACCTTTGCTCCGGAGATTAGGGGATGCCCGGTTACTTCGCTGAAGGCTCAACAACTCTGCAATCTGAGATGATATTTCGAAGGTTGCCTGCTCACCTGCAAAATCCGAAAGCTCAAACCTAAGATAATGTAGGGGCTATAGTTCTAGACGGGCGGCGGGACTGTAAGTGGATGGTCTTGCTAACTGTTTTGGACCCTATGTGATGAGGATCGGCTATTCAAGAACCATTTGCTAGCAGCCAAAGCGCCTCCTCTGGAGTCATCCTGGCAGGGACTTTTCCAGATTCTTTTGGTGTTGTCAAGCGGCAGATGCCATCTGAAGTCTCTGCAAACGGCTTACTGGATCTTCAACACCACCTTGGACCACCCCCGACTTCGATTTCGAGTCTTCTGCGAGATCCGGAAGAACACCAGGACCAAGCTAGGCGCACACCACAACAAGCGCAGCGCCATCTGATAAGGACACCCTTTTCTCCCCAGTCCCCCCAAACAGATTTCACAAGGCCGGCAGTGCTCCGACACCGAGAGGAGTCTTATTATAATTGTAGTATAATGGGCCCCAAAACCCTGTTCTAATTATCAAGGCCTCTATACCAGACTCATGCGATGTAGCAGTCGCTTAACGGCCGTCACATTAAAATACCCTTCAAAATCATCTATGCCACTGCACGAAGCCTATGGTAGCGAAGCCTATGTTACAAGGAACACAACCTGGCCACTTAACTTCGTTCGTTCAGCCCATGAGTGACTTTTTCGTATGTGAGAAGATGGTGGTGAAATATAACATGCGGCTGGCAAGATTTGGACTTCGGAAGGCATCCAAGAAGTGCGGACTCTTGCCATCAATCGTCTCCTGCACTTAAAAGGGGATCCAGAAAGTCAATAATCTTGAAGTCGATCGTCTTATACATATCCGGGCTCTCGTTGTCATGGTTTTGGGAGTCCACCTTGTCATCCTTCATGTGCTGTGGAACCGTGAGCCCACACAGCCTCCTTCTGAAGAGGAAAGCTGTGTTTGCCTCAATCAGCAGAGTCCCAACGGCATTCAGGTCGCGGAGGGCCGTGCGCACAGCAGTCTCGACCCTCCTTAGCCCAGTCTTCTTGCCGGCTTCGACCGCCTGGTCATCGTAGTCTTCGATGAGAAGGTTGAGGCCCCGAATCAATTTGGTTTTCTTCGGTGCAGCAGTTACGAGAATGGGGCACACTCTAGACTCAAACCCTCGAGCGTCTAGGTATTCCTGGACATCGTTTATGACCCCTGCGGTCAGCAGCGACTGACCGTGACCCGAATTCACCCCGGGTGTCTTTGCTGAGAGCCCTGCATGTCCAGGAAAAGGTGGGCTGTTCGGATCATACTCGTGGTGGTCCTCCTGCGTAAAGAACCAAAACCAGTTGTGGCCAGCTGGATGATCTGGATGTTCATACTCTAGACTTTGCTTGGGTAGAGTGCGGCTCCTCGACGATGCTTCCCTAATTGGAACGCCAGCTTCCTGAAACACACCGCGCAGAACATGTTCTGCATTCCAGCGAGTCATCGTGGAGTAAATCCCCCAAAGTATGGGTTGCTCGGATAGAAAATCGACCAGCCTGCGGACCTCTTTCGGACGGGTGTAGGCCCAGGAACTGAAACCATTGTCGCCCGGTGGGCGACGGATCTCGACGACCTGCTGGTCTGGACACTTAAGTCGTTTTCGCAGTGGAGGGCATCGGACCAGAATTCCGTTCAGATCCAAGAGTACCAGCAACTGTGCCGAGCGAGCTTCAACCGGTGGAGGGTCATCAAGACCCTGCAGTTGAAGGTGATCCTGGTCTCTGGCACAGGTGTAGAGGAGGACTCAGGTTGGCATAGCCCTGCCTATTGTCTTTATCTTTGTGGGTTTAGGGTGTAGGGTTTAGGGTTTAAGGTTTAGGGTATAGGTTCAGTATGCATTTCCCGGGCTGGCTTTCCATACTTGTGACAGGTCTTTCACAATCCTCGTCTACACACAGGTAAGGAGTACATCTTGTCTCTTGGCGACCTAGCTAAAACACAGCAGAACTCACAAAACCGAACAGCTCTTGCAAAGACGTGTTGAGTAATACCGTAGAGTCTATTCGAATAATCTGGAAAGACATCAATACAGTATGCTATTTTGCGTGGAGCTTCCAAGGCGAGGCGATAGGCATCCGCCAAAGTAGGCATCAGCTCCGTCTCGCTGTCCGAGGACATGGCAAAAGCCACGGGGCCACCCCTGGTGATCTCTCGTGCCGTCGTATGCATAAGGGTAGGGTCCCTTTTAGGCTCCTTTTTATAAGGGTGCCGTACTTTATTGGGGACCGAAAAGGGGACCCTAATTTAGAGAACTACCCATAAAAGCCACATGCAATGCAGTCTTATCTAGAATCCATATCTGTGTGGGCTCTCTACCGACAAACAAACCAAGCAGTTGCAACTAGCTTCGAGCTGCTGCGGAGCGGACAGAGGCACCATAACTCCCAGCAGACCACAGGGGTCCCATGGTGTGAAGAGGGGTTTAGGGTTTAGGGTTTAGGGTTTAGGGTTTAGGGTTTAGGGTAGGATGCAACCCCCCCAAAAAAGAAGGGCTTCAAGCAACACTGCAAATCGCGAGCGACTCGAGTTTCTTTGCAAAGCGGGGTAGAGGGAACATAGGTGGTGCTTGGTGTTCCTAAGGGCTCTACAAGGTTTCCGCATGGGCTCAGATTCCTAGAAGAGTTTAGAGGTTAATGGGTAGTTTCTTTATTGGGTCAGAAAGGAGGAACTACTTGCCTCCAGCATCAAGTAAGGCACCGACAACTTGTTTGATTAAACCTACACATGAAACTGTAAGTATGGCTTGCAAAGGTTCACTTGGGTGACGAGAGCTTAGGGAGGCCACCAGGCTTCTCGGATGTTTGCATTACTTTCAACGGTCCTGTGGGGCTGGCAGATTGCCTTTAGGGTTGGGGCTGGGGTTCGTGGCTCCTGAAGTTTTTCAGCAGGATAAAGAACGAGGATCGAAGCCCAAGTAGCTAGAGCAGCTCTATCCTGGCTTTCCGGTTGACCTCCAACAAAACCCATCATCAAATGACATGGCGAGCTGGCATGACACCACCGGTAGAGCCCGGGTCGTGCCTGCACCATGCAGAATGCCAAGCTGTTGGACTCTCTCCGGTGTTTTTGGGCTTGTTTCTGACAGTTGCTGGTCTTTGTATGAGTGATCCTACCATTCAGGGACTTGAATTCGTGGGTCCCGTGCTTCTTGAAACTCTGGTGTCTGCGCAGGCTACAATACAACGATCCATGCATTGTGAGCACATGTCGAACTGAATGCTTTCCTTGAAGGGGGAATGAGCCAAACACAGTGACATAGCAACCTCGTTGCTCTAGTAGTGGCGATGCAGAGTGCCACCCAAACGAAGCTTTGTGTACCGAAAGTCCCAGAGCCTTAAATGCGAACTCGCTAAACTCCTGAACAGTGCATATCCTGACCCACATCCCAATCGTCTCAAACCTTAAGCATCGTACTTACAAAGCTACTAAGTCTCCAGAAATCCTAAACCCTGAAGCCCGAAACGCTAACCATCCTAAACCCCAAACCCCAAAACCCTTGAAGCCCGAATCCGTAAATCTGAAAGCCTAGTTTCACTGATCCGTAAATCCTCCCAACAAGCCGAGACAGCAGTAATAGTCGTAGTAATCATACTGCCACATGTATATTTATATGTATATATATATATATATATATGGGTGGTGGTCAAAATCATGGTCCCTTTTTGGGTCCTTATTATAATACGGCACCTATTATTTAGGGTACCCCAAAAGGGACCATAATTTTGAAAACTACCCATTTAAATAGATGTACATTACATGCTATATACAAAAAGCTCCTGAGGCCCCCTACACAGTGCTGCCGGTGTTCACAGAAGGTCCACCGGCCGCGACCGAGTCGCCATTCACCTGGGGGAGTGGTTTTAGGGTTTAGGGGTTTAGGGTTTAGGGGTTTAGGGTTTAGGGGTTTAGGGTTTAGGGGTTTAGGGGTTTAGGGTTTAGGGGTTTAGGGTTCAGGGGTTTAGGGTTTATCAAGTTTGTTTATGTGTAGGGTATCAAAGGCTTGGGGCTATACGTGTTGAAGGTTAAGTCAAGGGCTTTGCTTGTTTTGCGCGGGGTATTTAAGCCCATATGGTTTGAAGGCTTGAAGGCCTTCGGGTCTTTGGCAGTGCACTCTGAGACTATCTCCACCAAGCTCATGTGGAGACCCTATTGGCTCTCTTAACAAAGAGAAAAATTTCTGTAAATAGGATCTTGATATGAAGGCCTTCGGAAGGAGCAGGGCTTCGTCAAATAGGGGAATGCCGGGGCGGTTTTCTCGGCTGCAGTGGGTGCTGTCGCCGCGTGAGGATCCTTGTGCCGCTTTCACTCTCATGTTTTCTTCTACTCCATCGGCACGCTGCTGGGCTGCTTTGACACTCAGGGGCTTTCGAAAAATGGAGGGTGGTTGTAGGGCGTATTGCCGTTCCTAAGCCCCCTCAGCCTTCACATGCCAAAGGATCCCGCAACATATTTGTCACGACACTGTAAGGCACGGTTTAGGTCAAGTCCAAGCACGTACCAAGCCAAGAGGCACTCAAAACATAAAATCTTCGTTTACCTGGGCAGCCCAGGAGCAGGATCCAGCTTCTTGAGCAAGGCGGTGGCGAGTTTACCCCCGACCTGCAGCAGCTGCGAAGTTGATCTGAAGCTCTGGGGTCGTGTTGGGCTTTAGGGTTTCACGATTGGTGCCCAGAATTTAAACCAGCTTAACGCAATCAGGAAGAGATTTGATTCCAAGTACAACTCCGAGCATTTCGGTACTGGTGGCAAGATGGATATCATACATACATCGTATAAGCTTGCGAAGACTTTTGAGTTAGGACTTGGCTTGCAGGCTCACTCTTTTCGCTTGTGGTGAGCCTCCAAGGATTGGGGGACCCAAACGTTCAAAAAACGACCAACAAAGCCGCTTTTGTCAAGGACCCTGATGAGGCACCTGCACAAACACTGTGGAAGATCATGTCTGGAAGGTATGCTTTTGGTCCCAAGTTCTCGTTGGACACTTTGACCCGGGGCTTGGCACTATGAGCGCAACGGCCTCGGTTTCCGCTACCTGTACCACAAGGCCTGGAAGCCTTACAAAGGGGCGTGGGCCTGGACAGCTAGACTAGGCTTGCTCTGTTGACAGAATGCAGAACCCTGCATACACTGTACTACACACTCAGGCCGCCTTATTCAACCTTAGACCCCGCACCTCTCACCCCTCCAAATCCGCAGGGAGCTGCTGCCTTATAGTGTCCCCGGCAATACCGTGTAATGCCGGCAGTTTATATGGGTTGGAGGCTGTCGTGGATGTTGAAGCTCCTGCAATCGTCGGTCGTTCACGGATAGAAGTCAGGCTCCGAGGTCTTGATCTTGACATCCGGGAGATGTCCCGCTGAAGCGATGGCAAGCCCACGCTCCGTGGACGACTGTGGAGGCCAGTCTCTAGGGACATTGCCTGGGGCTTCTACAGTGCCAGGTACGAACCTGTCCTTGTGATCCCTCGAAAATCTGGATTCTCCTGAGTTGCTGACATGAGCTCTAACGACAGATTCAGACTGGCAAAGGCATCGAAGAAGTATGTAGCCCTTATAAACCCCGCCTCACGCCCGTTGAAGCCATCATGTCTCAGGTATCGCCTGGCCAAGGTCTGCTTGGAGGCCGGGCGGATATAGTCACTAGGCTTTGCGGTTGGGGATCGCATGTATTTAGGGTTTAGGATCTAGGGTTTAAGATACCCCGTGACACTGCATAGAGCCTTGTTGGGCAGGCGAAGTCCGCGAATCTCAACCCTCAGACCTCAATTGATCATGTCTGGGCTCAGGCTGCTTGTCGTGCTGTCGGGGCCTCTGCATGTAGGGCCCCTACATCTATATAGGGACAGAAACAGCTAACGACGGAATTGAATGATTGAACAACCAAACACGTGCATGAACACATCGACCAACATAAACACAATAAACACATACATACGACCTGGCAGATCAGCCAAACCATTATCAACATCCTGTGGGTTCATGTAGAAGATCCAAGAGGGTCGGCAAGTCACATAAACAATGAATTCAGATACATCACAACTCTAAAAGCTCTACAAGGTCTTGTCGTACTTCCCCCTTCAACAAGAAGCAACCCCCGCAGCCCCCTTCCTCAACAAAAAGCAACCCAAAACTCAACCCCCCTGCCTCACCCCTGTCAATCTCCGGTCCCTATGTAGGAAGTTCAGAAAACTAGGGTACCTTATTAAGGGGTCCTGATGCTTAGGATCCTACTAGTTAGGGTCCTATATTAGGGTCCCCAATTTTCTGAAACTCCTATTTTGGGGGCTCCTTATTATAATTACAGTACACTGGGCCCCAAAACCCTATCTTAATCATTAAGGCCCCTATATTTATGGTAATGGTTCTCATACTAAGGAGCCCCCCAACATAGTATTGGTAATTATTAAGACCCCGGTTTGAATGGCTCGAAACCCCTAAACCCTAAACCCCTAAACCCGAAACCCCTAAACCCTAAACCCCTAAACCCCTAAACCCTAAACCCCTAAACCCTAAACCCAAACCTAAACCCTGGCTCGAAAGGAAAAGGCCGGGCCCACGCGGCGTCCTTCCGCTGGAAGCGGCGGCTGAACTCGCAGAGGGAGCCGGCCTGGCTCTCACGATTTGGGAGTTTCCAAAAATAAGGGGTACCGTATTTTGGGGTCCTTGTAATAAGGATCCTACCATTTAGGGTACTATAATAGGGTCCCCAATTTTCGGAAATCCACATTTAGCGGCGCTCCTTTTTTATTTGGGGGGGGGGCCTGGAGAAAGGGGGCTCCTTTTAAAGGGTTCCGAAAAAAAAGGGTTCTATCAGGGGTTTCGTGGATGAAGTATTGGGACCTGAATAATTAGAATAGGGGTTTT